CGTGGGGTTGCTATGAGTTGGAGTCAACTCGACGGCACCCAACAACAACAACAACAAGAACCTAGCAAAGCTAGACAGTATGCTCTCTCCTACTGAAACTCCCTATGACCTCCCAGTGAGAGAGGGACAACTATAGTTCTTATTACCCGCATGAAGAAGAACACATAGGATGTATGCCTGGTGTGTTCATTTTGTCCCTAAAAGAGCAAAGAGCAGAAACCTAGTCCTTCCCAAGTTTTCCATTACCGAGTTTTCACATTCCCAGGTTGCACGCTGTTCCACAAAGTACATACCTTTCCAGCATCACACTTGAGGATCTTTATAGTATAGTGGTTAGAGCTAGACTCCCAGCTCTGACACTTCCTAGCTGTACTGGAGCAAGTTTCTTAAGTTCTGTGTGCCTTAATTTCCTTTTCTGTAAAATAGGGATATAGCAGACTCAACTCTACTAACAACTAACGACAACAACAACAACAGTTGACTTACCTCATGGTGTGGTTATAAGAATTAAATAGGTTGATACATACACAGTGCATTGAACAGAGCCTGGTACATATCAAGTGATCATAGTGTTGGCTGCTTTCATTAATATGCCAGAAAAACCAGTTCTCCTCTATTTTACGCACCCGAATAAAACAAGTCTTCAAGACCTCCTGCTGTTTTGCTTCTCTCTTAAATATTTTTAAAAAGTCCTCTCTAAAAGTGCATCTGGAAAACTTAAATAGTACAGTTAACAATTATAAATAATGTATCATTTAAATATATGGATAACTGGAAATTATAAGAGAGTAACCAAGAAGCACTGAGAAGATGAAGTAATGAAATCAGTTCCATCAACAAGAGAAACACGTCTCAATCTGCATGAACACACACACAAGGAGCAAAATCCAAATGTCCACAGTCCATTCATGTCCCTGTCACCATGGCCTTTCCTGCTTCCTATTGGCTGTCCCAAATTATGGTCCACCACGCAGGAGGCTTCAACACTACTACTGCTGGCCTCCTTCCCAAACTTAGATTTTGCCACCTATACATTTGATCGGATTCTACCTTCCCCCAAATGGTGATAGATTCCGTTGGCCCCAGAGACTTCCCAAAGAACAGTCTCCTT